CCCCCACACCCCCCCGCTTAATTGACCTAACTTTCTAACCCTGGCTCTTCGCTTCTGGCACTGGTCCCCTCCCAAGTCTCCAGACCCTAACCCTGGCTCCCGACCCGCCCTACTACATACAGCCTGGGAAGCGGGAGAAGCAGCGCGCCCCTTCTGGGGACCCCCTCCCAGTGAAGATTGTGGTGTTAGCCGCCTAGGGGGACCGGGGGCCACCGGGACAAAGCGCAACCTCTGTTTCTCTCCCCAACCCCCGGAAGCGCTAACAGCACGGTTCTTACGTAATGCCGGGCTTCCAAGTCCCCCCAGCCCGCACAGACCCCGGGGAGGCCGCGCGGATACCCGGGCCCCTCACAGCTCACCACCTTGGTGCCTGAAGAGGTTTGGAGCCCCTACCGCAGGGGCGCGGACCAATGTCAATGGGCAGCGGGCCTTGGTTCTCCCAACTAGCACCCCAGAAAGAGGGCCCAGGGGCGGGGGCGGGTGGAGAGGGAGGGAACGGGCCTGGGTGAAAGGGGCCTGTGGAGTTTAAACCCAGTGAATAGGGTCCTAAGTGCCGTGCCAGGACGAAAAGGAGGCGGAGGTCTTGGGGTGGGTGGTGGCCAGGGGGCCGGGGGACGCCTACCTGCGCCCCGGGGAGCCCCTAGCTCCGCGCAGCTCCAGCGCAGCCGGGCGCTCACCGTTTATTGCTTGTCAATCGCTAGCCCGGCTCTTAAAGCGGCAAGGCCTCTCCGCGAGGGGGCGGAGGCCCGGCAGAGAGGGGACGGGAGAAGAACGCGGAGGCCGGCACAACTCGGAGGAAGTGGTCTTTCCCAGCAGCTGGTACGCGGGCAGCCAGGTAGTGGTTTGGAAGACACCGCACAGACCACGACGCCGTCCCACTGGGACGGGTTAGGGAGGCAGGACTGGTACCGGTACCCGCTGGTGTCCCTCGGCTCCCCCTTAAAAGGGCGATGGTTAAAGTGCCGGATGAGACCGGCTTGATTACTCCGCCCACCCCTCTTGGCTTAGACCCGCGTTCTAGTTCCAGACGTGCCTCACCTTTCCTGGTTATCCTGCTTCCATATTGAGAAAAGGAACAGGAAGACTTTATCTCCCAGGAAGCAGGATACCAGCCCCAGAAGGCCTCGGGATCAGGGACAGCTTTTTAAGGACTCGGAGGGTGGGTATCTGGATTCCAGACTTTCCAGAAAATTTGCAAAAAAGAGGAAATGTCTTCGTGAAAGGATTCGAGAGCTTATTTTAGGTCTGGGTGAGGGAGGCCTGTTCTATTTCCCTGTCTATGGAATAAAGAAGTAACTGGCTAGCCTTCCTCAGAATCCCAGCCCCAAGAAGTAAATAAAGGGTTAAACCCACTGGCCCGCCTTCGCCCAGCCTCCGGCTCCACCCCAGATCTGCTCGTAGAAGATACTGGGCCTCCAAATACGGGAGGCTCTGTGCAGTGCGCCTGGCATTTGGGGTCAGCTACGCTACTTATCCGACCTCGGCGTTCCGCCACCCCGTCCAGTTACCCTCAGCAAGATGTGGGAGTCATCCCTCTTCCTTGCTAACTGGATTCCTAAGATCATAAATGAACTGCATCTTTGGCCGGGCGCGGTGGCTCACTCCTGTAATCCCAACACTTTGGGAGTCCGAGGCGGGAGCATCGGTTGAGCCTAGGAGTTCGAGGCTAGCCTAAGCAACCTAGTGAAACCCCATCGCTACAAAAGATAAAATAAACAAAATTAGCTGGGCATGGCAGCGCGCGCCTGTAGTCCCAGCTACTTGGGAAGCTGAGGCTGCAGTGAGCCGAGATTGCAACACCGCACTCCAGCCTGGGCAACAGAGTGAGATCCTGTCTCAAAAGAAACAGAAAGAAAAGAAATGGATTACATCCTGGAAGCTTGCTTGGAAATCTCAAATATGGGAATCTATCCCGAAAGCAGGGAACTAGTCCCTAGGTCCCAAGACTCAGCTCTCCCCTGAATTCCAAGGGTATAAGTTTGGATATAGGGAAAAGCCACAGAGGCGGCCAAACTTCTGAAAACCACATTGTTTAGGTGCCCCAGGCTTTTACTGAGAGAAGAAAGTTATCGACCCCAGATAGCTTTGACAGGAATTACAGGCCTTGGTCTCTAAACAAAGAGGGGTCCTGGAGCACATTGCTTGCAGCTCTCTCCTCTACCTGCAAGCTAGAAAATCCTTCTTTTTTTTTTTCTTTTTTTTTTTTTTTTGAGACAGAGTTCCACTCTTGTTGCCCAGGCTGGGGTGCAATGGCACGATCTCAGCTCACCACAACCTCTGCCTCCCGGGTTCAAGCGATTCTCCTGCCTCAACTTCCCAAGTAGCTGGGATTACAGGCATGCGCCACCACGCCTGGCTAATTTTGTATTTTTAGTTGAGACAGGGTTTCTCCATGTTGGTCAGGCTGGTCTCGAACTCCTGACCTCAGGTGATCTGCCTGCCTCAGCCTCCCAAAAGAACTGGGATTACAGGCATGAGCCACTACACCCAGCCTAGAAAATCCTTCTAATTGAATTCAGGAAGAATTCCCCTTTCCATTATAAAGGCTACCCTCCACTCTCACCTGTCCACCTCTGGGCTGGAAATCACGCAGCTATTTGTATTTGGGAAGAGAAAGGATTTGAATCTCTACAAGATATTAATTAGTTCTCAATCAGTAACCCACAGCAAACCTTCCATTCTATTTAGGATACTGAGGACAGGCTGGGATCTCAGATTCTGGCCCACCTGGGGAGGTGGAGCCCAACTCATTATTCTTAGCGGCTGCCCTGCTGCATTTGTCAGTCAACAAGTATCTCTCTAATAAAGGCCTTGCAGAATGCCAGCCTCTCACATCTGTTCAGGACCTTACAATTGACAAATTGTTTCATTCTCACAATAGCCTTGTGCAGTTACAGAAAGAGAAGAAACATTTCTTGATGCACAATAAGATGCTCCTCTTCTGTGCCAGGCAAGGTACCATTTTCTGTGATACTGAGATAGATACGGGCCATGACCTCCTAGAGTTCACAGTCTGGGGTTGAAGTCAGGAAGGGCTGTGTTACATAGATACAAAAAGCGCTTCTTGGTAGCACAGCTGAATGCCATAATAAAGGTGCAGTGTGTCCTAAGCTGTTCCCCAAAGGAATAGAGGTGCTAATGGTTGGCAGTGGAGTAGCTGGGAAGGGAAGCAGGTTTGCGGTTGGGCAATGCATCCCCTAGCAGTTAAGGGCTGCCCACTACCTCAAGAGGGGAATGAGTCCTCCTTCTCTGGGGTCTGTAATTAGCTCTGCTTTCCTCCTTGCCTCAGCCTCAGAAGTCATAAGGGTGCAGGTAGTATCTCTCCTTCCCCCAAAATCAAGATTTTTCTATGGTGGTGTTCAGCCCAGAGTTTTGGGAGTCAAGGCGCCGAGAAAAGTAAAACTCAAGAGTGTTACAAATTTTCAGCAGATAAGGCTTTGCACTGAGTGATGTTGCACTTCCTATAATGACCAGCAGGGGCCACCAACAGCTATCCCTAGTCTATCTACACCCACCCTCTGCCGTGGTTCGCCTCCACACCTGCGACTCGCGGCTGCTTAGTTCTGGAAACCTTATTTATGGACTATACTTCTCAGTAAGGAAAAAAGAAAAATTTGGGTGGGGTGCCGTGGCTCATGCCTGTAATCCCAACACTTTGGGAGGCCGAGGCAGGCAGATCATGTGAGTTCAGAAGTTCAAGACCAGCCTGGCCAATATGATGAAACCGTCTCTACTAAAAATGCAAAAATTAGCCGGGTGTGGTGGCGGGCACCTGTAATTCCAGCTACTCTGGAGGCTGAGGCAGGAGAATCGCCTGAACCTGGGAGGCCCAGGTTGCAGTAAGCCATGATTGCGCCACTGCACTCCAGCCTGGGCGACAGAGCGAGACTCTGTCACACACACACACAAAAAAAAGTAAATGTAGAGCCCTTAATGGACTACATAAAATTATATAAATATTTGCCTATAAACTATATTTGTTAGTCAATTAATTAGTATGCATATTAGAAATCACACACGTAGGGATTTTTATTTTTATTTATTTATAAATAAATAGGCCGGGCGCGGTGGCTCAAGCATGTAATCCCAGCACTTTGGGAGGCCGAGACGGGCGGATCACGAGGTCAGGCGATCGAGACCATCCTGGCTAACACGGTGAAACCCCGTCTCTACTAAAAAATACAAAAAAACTAGCCGGGCGAGGTGGCG